TGCCCTATCACTACGATTTTTTTACTCACTACACAGCGTTGGAATAATTAGGGGATGAAGACAAATGCGCCCTACTACAGCTACCAGTGACTTGCGAGCTACGCCCTGATCCTCTTAGGTCATCAGAAAAAACCCCAAAGAAGAATCCAAGAGCTGCGTGACCTCAACATCAAAGCTGGATTGAACAAGAACCTGAAGAAGACCCTGATCCTGCTAAACACTTATGTGACCCCAAGGTCTGTTCAACTCAATGGATGCGAGTGGGAGCAAATGGTTTATGCTCCATTAGTTTATCTAACAGGGTCAACTTCCTTTTCTTAATCCACAAGCCTGTTGAAGTTACCCGTGCGTTGAGGAACACTGAACGTGGAATCACACCTTACGCAGTTCCGCCATGTAACCCTCATAATGTGTCGGAGCCAATGTCGGTTATGCAATTTAACAGTTGCTCTTGGCTCTTCGTTAGAACAACCGTTGGATGCCATAAAACAACGGCAACCTGACCGAGGCAGGACACAGGCGGAATTTTGTGGAAAGGTTCACTTCTTTCTTTGCCCAATATTTGAGAGCACCAAATGCACTCGAGGAGAAGGAGATCGTTCTACTTGCTTTTACTACATACCTCTGATTTGTTTAAATTTGTAAATTTCGCTGCATTAACTTACACATATCTCATCGGAGAAACGTCTACTGAACTATATTTAACTTTGTAAAATTCACGATGCACATGTTGTCAACTGCATTCCACGCTGATTAAGACTTAGCTGGTTGCATATCACGCATCAGGAGTGACTACTTTACCGACAGACGCGGCAAATATTCTTCGCATCAAATCCAAGTAAACTGCGATATTTGCACCAGCCGATTATAGAGGACTGAGTGATAACCGTCTCACCTAGGATCCCGCCAAATGCTGACTAACTTCAAGCCCTCCGATATCTGAGAATGTTGATGTGACACTTCCACCCTTAACCAATTGCAGCTCGCAAGGTAATGGCTTATTTCCGATGCACATTTTTAATCTGTCCCTCACTAGTAAGAAACCCCACGATCTCAAATTATTAATTTCTTGTTCATTTTGTGCTTTCACTGTTATTATTCTTTCTAATGACACGTCAAATTAGCGAAACCAGCATAAAACACGGTTTGTTTATATGCAGTGCAAAAATATATGGTCAGTCGGATGACTGACGTTTCGGCACGTGTTTCACTGGCCATCTTCAAGGTAGAGAAGTCGGCTGACTTAGGAAGTCCTTTCTGTGGTTTGCAACAGCTCTGTTTGCAGCCAGAAGGCAAGCATTAGGTCCGAGCTGTCAACTAAGTAGTCCTTCGGTACATGGACCAAAAGGTCGCATTCTGGCTCTGTTAGAACAGTTGCGAACGACAGAAATAACGTCCGAAAGTCTCTCTACCTTAAAGAAGGCCCGTCAGACACAGGCCGAAACGTCGATACTGGTCAATCATCCTAATAGCCATATTTTTGCGGCCTGTACTAATAAACCGTTTCATGGTGCTTTCAGAATGATCAACAGCGCATGAACGAACTACTCAATATTGAAATTATTCTGAACTTATTAGGGTTTATAAGCAAAACCTTTGACGATGACTAAATGCTAAACACTGGACCCGTCAAAAGAGGATTACATTTCTGATGCGCCGCAACGAATAGCATCGCGAAAACGTCTAACCGATTCTCAAGGAGCCACGGAAATCTCAGAAATTTAAAAAGATCATCGGTGAATGACAAAATATAAATTTGAAGCGAACGTGACACTATAAGACCTTTCGATGAGGAATACATGGAGTCACGTCGACAGCGAAGACAACGTCAAATTATCTTTCATAACAAAGTAATACCGTTCCAAGAAAGTTCCGTTCCAACAGGCTTCGTCGGCAGCCCGCACAGCGTTGGACTCGAAGCACACCGACTTTGGCAGGTTCTTCCAAAATCCCTTGGCCGGCAAAACCTAAACGACGTTGTCCTATACACATAAGGGCTGATGGCCGCAGCGATAGTAGATGATCGGCTGGCGACCACAGACGAAAAAGCACCGCGCAAGGAGTAATTTACTTTTTCCTTAATGTCTTTGGTCAAACGTTCCAGGTTGGCACCGGCGGCGCTAGATAGCTGCGAGTCGCTGGTCTTAAGGTCGCCAAATTTCAGGTCCTCAAACGAGACGCTGACGATGTCGTGGCCACGTCGGTTACGGCCGCGTTTGAACCTGAGGGGTAGCGGGCGGCCACAGTCGGAAAACACCTTAAAGCGAGTAACGGTCATCGGTTACAGTCGCACGTCGAAAACGTGTATACGCGATCGGACAGTTCTTTGCCTTTATCCTGAAATATCATGATCGCGTCGGATATCTTGATGTCGATCGGGTCTACCAGAGACTCAATATTATAAGGACCTTCGAGCAGCTTCACCAGATCAGACAACGCGTCTAAAATTGCAACACAATATGAGAACGTGACAGTGACGAGAAACACGGCCAGGTCAACGACCCTCGACCCTCTCCCTACCCAAGTAGTTGTTCCAGTGCTGATCGAATGCGATATGTGATGCCAGACAATCGGCGACTACGTCCACGCAGAAGCTGGTGCACGGTTTGACGTTGAAGATGCCTTGACAGCTGGAACAGTAATACATCTGCGTCAGGCGGTAAGTGCACTCAACAGAAGGCGACATCTAAAAGAGCGTAATTACAGAACAAACGCAACAACATCATTTGAACAATCCAAACGATAGCGGTAAACAGCCTATGGCAGAGATGAACATGGATAGCCCTATTACAGCCGCTTTTATAAATCGGCTGTTCAAATCATTACACCGCATGGCTCACTACCGCATGGTCGACATTCGAATAACCCATTTATAGTTATCGTTGATTCTCTCCTTTCCTCGCTGATTTTCACTCTTTATTGCCTCGCACTATCGTAGCCTACCATGAGGACTTCGATCACGTTCTCCGAATTTTTCAAACCCATGACCTGTTAGATAATTCCAATTCACTACGGCATAACCGATCGAACAAATGTAAAGTATGACTAAAAAGGTCACACAGTGGCAGGCATCGCCAGACACGTCAGAGAGTTAGTGGAAAACAACTGGTCATATTAAACAGCTCTGACAGACAGTTCGAAATGCTAAATTTTTCTTATATGAACAAGTGTCTGTTCAAATAAGCTTTTACCTTCTTAAAACCATCCTGTAAAGTTGAACAAATCGATCAAGTTAAACCAGTATGCATAAAAGCCGGAATGGCACAAACTCTATAGCAAAGAAATTTGCATTTACTTGTGCACTATTCTTCAAGAAAAGCTCGGAAACTTGGTCAATTAACTAAGACATGAAAACTATCCGAAAGCCTTTATTTAAGAACAGTTCACAAAAGTCGACCGCAAAGTGAACAAGACATCAACTGCTAGCCGGTAACTCACTTCTCTTAACTAGCTTCACAGTCCTACCATGCTGATCATTCATCGATAAAACTGATCAGCTTGGTACAAAGATTCAGGAACAAATAAGGCATAAGAACGGCATGCAATACTCTGAAGAGGCTTGGAGGCAGCAGCATAAAGAAGTGATCCCTCCACAAGAACATTCCGGGATTGTTTATCGCCTCAGTGTGCACAGGTACATTTTGGAAACTCGATATATGCTTAAAAATAGAACAACGGTATACATGGCATGCATTTGCAGGGCAGAAGAAAGAGGTTCAAACTTCAACCGTAGCGGAGGACAGAATCACGCAGAATCACGCCATCCAGTTTCCAGCAAAGCGGTTTTAACAAAAGCTTACTGGCAAGCAACAGAAACAAAACAGACCCACAGTAAAAATAAACATTTAAGAGACTCATGCGATCAACTTAGCATGGCAATCACACACATTATAGGCACTAACATTCATCGCTACAAAAAAGCTGTTTCTGTCAATAGTTCAGAAGTAAATCTGTTTCTCCGTGGCAACTTACCAACACCTCTTGTTTCCCTCGAGAAACAAGCAAACAGTACGGTGCCAATGACGGTTAGGCATTCAAACGAGGGATGGGGTAATTGTGTCAATTCCACAAGCGATTTAATTCGTTGCGAATCTTGCTGCGGACTGAATACTAATCGCGCACTCTAATTAATTTAAAAAATAAAATTCAATTCAATTTCCATGATGGCATCTCGTTTCAGGTCGCGGAGACAGACGCGTCAGACAGTGCTTCCAATGTTCTCGATTTCGTGCAAGCGTTTGGGTATCGGCAAAAGGTAACCGGAGGGTCCTTCAACATACATCGCCCAGGTTATTCTTCACTGTTCTTAGGATTCTTGGCCGTCCGCGATTTATAGGTCTTCTGTCGGTCGGTTGGGCAAGTAGTAATTGCTTCATTTTAACTTCTGGAGGCAATCTCAACACGTGCCCAAACTGTCGCAGCTGTGACATCTCGATCTAAAGAAGTAGCAGCTATACACCAAGGCTCTGTCAGATTTCTTTACACCGGACCATGCCCTAGTTGCGTGAGGACAGCGATTCGTCTCAGAAATTCCATTTCAGCCGCTTGTACCCGGGATCGAAGTTTTCCGTCATAGCGCCCACAATAAATGACCGTAGATCAGCACGGGGATGAAGATCGACTTGAACACAGAGGAGTGTTTTCATCCCTGCTTTAGTACAATGGCTTCGTTCAATTCAAGCAGAACGTCACTGGCTATTAATTTCCGCCTGTCGTTCTGATCTTCAAATCTTCCATCACCAACACACGACACCAAGGTATTTGAACTTCTCCACCTGCTCCACTGTATCTCCGTTAATCTGAACAGCAACGGGCAGGAGAACGAGAAAGCACTAGGCTTTTCGTTTTAGATGCGTTCACACGCATGTCGGTCACTTCGAACTCGGCTGCGAACCTTTCTAGGGAGCACTGAAGATCAGTTTTAGAAGATGCTAATAAAAAGGTCTTCTGCAAAGAGGAAA